GCTCTTTTCATGTCTTGCGGTGTACTTCCCATAGGATGTGGTCATCGGCGACCACTTATCATACCCGGCGGTCGTGTCTTCGTGTGGCCACTCATCCAAAAGGTTCAGAGGTTTGTCACGTGGTTTGCCATCCATTGGTGCTATCATTACACGTGATGTCTGTGTCCATGTCTATAGGATATCGCTGAACGCAATGTGTCTGACCATCGAGTCATCGCGAGTGCACAGCCGCCACGGAGTGGTGATATCAATGACGGGAACAGCTGTGGTGAAGATCCCCGGCCACTACCCTGACATGTTGAGCGCCGCCTGCGAGCACTTCTTAGGCAAATCAGAGCCGCAGATAATGGACGCCATCTCTGAGACACTGGACGGACACCAGAGAGCTGTCATCGCCTCCATGAGCGTCGAGCAGATCCACACGAATCTCAAGAACTTCACGGATAAGGTGTCAGACGGGGCTGCGAGTGATTTGGCGCACATGGGGTTTGTTATCATCTCGTATACCATCAAAGCCATCACTGACGGGGACGGGTATCTCAAAGCACTCGGACTGACACGCGCTGCAGAAGTGAAGAGAGACGGACGCGTGGCTGAGGCCGAGGCCGCGAGGGATACGCTCATAGGGAAGGCGTTGGCGGAACAGGAGCTGATGTCCGCCCGCTATGCGAACGGCACACAAATAGCTAAATCCCGGGCCGATTGTGAGCTTAAAAAGGCTGCCTTTGATGAGGAGGTGTGGGCTATGATGGCTGTGTCGGACCTGTCCTACGATCTACAGGCGGCCAAAACGCGGCAACGCATTAAAGCCGAGCAAATGGAGGTCAGCACCCATTCCCACACCCTTTCCCACATATATTTGTGACGTAATGTTTGCTAACATTGTCTGTGTGTTTGTATTTCAGGTAAAACTGGTAGAGAAACTGCAACAGATCCGGGAGCAGGAACTGGATGTCGTGCGCCGGGAGAGGGAGTTGAAGGCAACGGTGCGACTGCCAGCCGAAGCCGAGAAGTACCGGTTGGAGAGGTTGGCCGACGCGCACAGGAATCACATGATTATGTCGGCTGAAGGAGAGGCAGAAGCCATAC